TTCGCATATGTGATGTGCATTGATACATAAAAAGAGAGAAAGGAAGGTCGGTTACGAGAGACAAAGAAAAATGAATTAAAAGTATGTGTTATCGTTGTACCATGTCAATTAATTCGTTTGCTTTTTACTGAGGATATTTAAGATGATTATTATTCTAGGCTAATAATAGCAATGTAGCGTATTACTTAAAACCATTAATTTCAATGTATAAAATTAATCTATGTAAAGGTTATAGGAGTTTATCAGTAATGACAGATTTTTAGAAATTTAGTGATTCGTTAATGTGCTAATATTATAAAAGATAACATTATTTAGCATATTATATTCCTATATGACATTCGAATTAACCTTGATGAAGCAAATCTTTAAAATGCATAATATAATACTCTCAATCAATTGAATCGACAGATGATAAACTTCATTGTATTTAAATATTGCCAGAGATGAGCTTTGAAGAGGACAAAATTAAATAAGAAGTAAATGATCTATCCAACTTAAATTTTTACATTTTAATTTTTTTTAATTGTAGTTGAAATATACAGTATTTTAAGACATTAGGAATTAATTAATAATAAAGATAATAATAATAATAATAATAATAATAACAATAATAATAATAATAATAATAAGAAGAAGAAGAATGATAATAATATTGAAAAATTAAAATCTATTAAAAAATAATTACACAAAATTGAAGCGATTAATTAATTCTTCAATCTACAGTGGGTTACTTAAATTATGTCATTAAAGTCAATGAATAATAAGATAATAGTAATATTATATGATACATTAACGATGCAAATATATTATTTGCAATGCAATCACATTATGGTTTGAAATTAAAGAAAATTACCGTCATTATTTCATTTATGAAAAAAATAATCTTAAACGAAAAAAATTCTTAAGATCTTCCAATTTGGTTTCACTTAATTTTGAAGATATCAAAGTAATGAACATAGTGATGTTATAACAATTATGGTAAGATAATTTTATTATATTTTACATTGAAATTCATGGTAAAAAGAACATTAAAAAATTAATATTTTCTTAAATCAATTATATGATTCCTACTTTCTTTTTTTACTTATAATATTTCAAAGCTATACTCAAATACACATAGAAAGATCTCAAACTCTCAAGATAGAACAATATAATTTATAACGAACGATTATAAAATTAATTCGATTGTAATTGAATTGGATTAGAACCTTGTATTCGGGATATATTTTATATTCATGTTATATATGCAAATGTAATACGTATGAGAGGCTATAAGAACTTGCATTAGTTGTAGATACACTAATGAATATATGTCTGATCCATACAGACGGCGATGCACAGAAATGCGCAGGCATTTCTCTCTCTCTCTCTCTCTCTCTCTCTCTATGTATCTGTCTCTCTGTCCCCACCCTCTCACCCTGTCTCTCACCCTGTATCTATCTATCTATCTATCTATCTATCTATCTATCTATCTATCTATCTATCTATCTATCTATCTATCTATCTATCTATCTATCTATCTATCTAACTATCTACCTATCTATATCTCTCTCTCCTCTATCTTATACACATATATGTATTACCTGTACGAGCATATGCATATTTGTTAATATATCCCATTATAATTCATTACATGCAATACACACACAAAAGATTTAAGTAAATTAATTAAAGACAAATAATAATAGTCAAATAATAAATGTTATATGAAGATATATTTCGATTCACAAGTATTTTTCCGATTATTTACTATTATAATTAGCATTAATGTTACTAAAATATTATAAAATTTAAACGTTATTCAAATATTAAAATAAATATTTCTATTATAATATATATAAAAAAAGCTATAATAATGACCTCTGGATAATAATGTAAAACATTCTTATCTTAAATATTTCTAAATTTAATCAATTTAATGTAACAAATTTGAGGTACATAAAGTATTGGTATCAAAAATCACATATACTTTTAAATAATTTCAATTTACGAAAAGTACATTTGATATCGCATTTTCTATCTATAAAAGTATTGGATATGAAGTATTGTACTAAACAATCAATACCTTGATATACGTATTGATTTTTCTGTTGTAATTTGATATGATTAATGCATATAAAAGATGTAATTTTCTTTAATCGACATCGGTCAGAAATTCACGTTGTGCAGAATAACATTTAAATTTCAAAACTTACGGAGAAAATAGCGGATTTAACTAAAAAGTAAATTAAGGGTAAAATTTGAAAGACACTCATTTATTAGATTAAAGGAAGAAACAAGATTAAAAGTTGAAACAAGTATTTGGAATAAAATAAATACATTATTGTATATAATATTAATTAAAGCATATATATGCTTATAACAATTTTATTTGCCTTTGCTTGCAAATCAGTGCAAATACACGCAAAATAAACGATATTATTTTTTATGTTTGCAACGTTATTTTCTAAGTTTTAACCTCCATAATTTTCTTATTATAAATGGAAATAAAGTAAAGATATGATTTTCAATTATCATAGTATGTAAAAGATTTCGATTCAATACAAATGTTTTATTAACTAAATGAATAAAATACTTCACAAACCGATTCTAATATAAATAAAGTTAAAACTGCTTTTTTAATTATATATTCCTATATACTTAATGTTATTTAATTATCTTATTATGGTTAAAGTACTTTTTTAATATTTGGTTTCAAATTATTACTAATATATGTTCCTGATTTGAAAATATAAAATTCTCTCAATTATAATTATGATGTAAATAAAAATTTGTGATATCATTACTCGTTCTTGTCATTCAACAGATTATAGCATAAAGTGATAAAATAATTTTTCGCCAATAAAACTTAAATCTTACATTCAAAGACATAAAAATAAATACAATTGAAATTGATTGCTTTATTCATATTTATAAATTATGTATAAATATTTGTAAAATAAAATATTTTTTTTTATTTATTTAACTAAAAAATTATATTCTATGAAACAAACAAAATTTTATCTTCTATTAATTCTACAACAGAAGTTACGGTTTATGAAAGCTTTCTCAACATCAGCTTTTTAAAAAAAAAAAAAAAAAAAAAAAAAAAAAATAGTTTAATTCTACTAAACCTATATACATTATTTTATATAATAATATTGATTAAACGATATATGATTTGTTGTACATAAATTATCAATAATAGTCTTCATTATTTTTAATTTTTAATTATTTTTCACAATAATCATTAAGATTCAACATTTACAATGAAAATTGATTTATATTTGGAAATTCCTATACGTATTTCCGAGCTTTATAATTTCGAAAGTTAATATAATAAATTTAAATCATTGTTAACTCGGTATTTTAAAAGAATATTTGATTAAAAAAATTTGGTTTTTACTTAAATATATTCAAATAATAATCGTATTACGTCAAATAGAATCTTTTATTTTATTTTAATAAATATATTTTATTTTATTACATACTACTTTCTATATTTATAATTTACATTTATGAATAATCTAAATAACATAAAAAAATTTTCGTGGTTTATTAAAATTGCATCTTCATTATTATATGCAATTTTGTAATACATATGAATTTGTTAGTAGACAAATAATTAGCTGTGAATTAATCAAATAATATTTTAATATATTATATATCTACATTTTAAAAGCACTTATGGCACATTATATGTCTATTATATAAGAGTTTCGAATATAATTTAGTTTTCAATTCAATATAATTCAGTTTCAGTTGCTTTCCGTATTTAAAACGATGGAATAAAATATATCGATACTATTAATAAAAGTTTTACAATTAATATTATACTTTAAAATTTGTTACATTCATCGGTTGATAAAAATGTTAATTTTATTTAAGAAAAATACAAAGCTTTTATTGTGCAAAATCATTAATATTTATCAAGATTATTTTACATTGATTTTAGCTTAATAATTACTTTATGATCATTCAGAAGAATATAAATGTCAAGCCGTTTGTTATTATTTAGAAAAAACATAACGTATGTGTAGAATCGTGTTTGAATGTTTCAAATATTAAATTACAATTAAATCCATTATTCAATACTATTAATCTTAGCCAACGTAGATTTTTTTGAATCTGATAAAGTAAATAAATAAGAATAACAGACTTGTTTGTAATTTTCGTACATTCAATAATCTTTATGGATAATTGATAATATATTATAAATCTTTAATATTATAATGTATTATATTACCCATAGTAATTTCAAATTTGAAGTTTGTAGACAATAAAAATAATTGAATTATTATGTATTATATTCGATAGGAATTTGAAAATTGTAGTTGGAATAGAGTATAAAATAAGTAAACTAATTTACTTAATTAATTTTTTTATTATTTTACCATAATGTTTTTTTAAATAAAAAAATACTGACATTATTTAGTGTACTTTATCTTATATAAAGTATTTTTACAATCATTATTTGTCATATAAGCAAATAATTTCCGTTAAAAATTACATTTATATAAAAGTATAAAAGTATATCGTGACGGTTTATTGGAATATGTAAAATTTATTTTCTAAAATCGATGGAGTCAAATATCTAAGGCATATGCAATAGTAAAATTGAAATAAAATTGCTGGGCTGGAAAAACGGTATAAAACGAGCCGTTAAATATAACAACGAACTAAAAATTTAAATGTATTAAGAAACTTTTATTAGTTATTTTTCATTAAAAACCTTATTTGTTTGATTTTAATGGAATGAAAGGTTTGAACTGAATGGAATAAGTTTGTAAAATATAGATATTGATTCGTGTGTTAATTGTTTATTCAATGATATTTATTGTTTTTAATTAGAAATACGTGTCAATAGAAATGGCTTGTAATATGAGTTGGTTAGAAATACAGATAATGCGAAATAATGAAATTACATATATATATATGTATATATATATATATATATATATAGAGAGAGAGAGAGAGAGAGAGAGAGAGAGAGAAATTAAGTAAATACAGCATAGACTTACGAGGTTGCGGAAAAGCAAAGACACTCTCTGTCTTAGCAGCGAATTCATCGATTTCCTCATGATGTGTGATGCCAGGCTCTAATGGCTGATCGGCCTGCATCCCATACATGTCCATGAGCTTAGAGATCGGCGGAATCCTTGGTAGAGCTCTGCCTGTCATGTTGGGAGCCTGTTTTAAACCTAACTTGTTCAGTATTTGTTCCTTTATCGCTTCGAGACTCATTGCTCTGATCTCTTCATGCATGCGACAAGCGTTACAGCTACTTCCCATAGCCAGGACGCTCTTTGTCGTACCAAAACCGTAGTATAACCACCTTGTGAAAGAGAACTTCACCGAGGTATCAAAAATATAATCGAGATGACCCGGGCCGTCGAATGCCCCGAGTAGTACCAATGAAAGTAGTAACACGCTCTTGATCATTTTCTCTCAATGATCGACACCCTGCTTCTGCAGGATTATACTATGTTTTCTAAGCGCTATCGTACCCCTCAATTAAACACGAGGAACAGCTTCATCATTATGAGCTTCGTGAGTCTCTCTCTCTCTCTCTCTCTCTCCCTCTCTCTCTTTCTCTCTCTCTCTCCCCCTCCCTCCCTCTCTCTCACTCTCTCACTCTCTCTCTCTCTCTCTCTCTCTCACTCTCTCTCACTCCCTCTCTTTCTCTCGCATACACAAACACGCACGCACGCACGCACGCACACACCCACACATGCGCACACACGCGCGCACACACATGTACCCACACCCGCACGCACGCACGCTTTGTTATTATACTAAATTTTCTTGATCCGTTTTTCTGAATATTTGTCTTCTTCTATCGGGAACTTATTTCGGTACTGACTCAATTTTTCATAAACTTTTAAACCGTTAAAGTTTTACTACTTAAAGTTCACTTATTAAGAGTCTTTTTATTTTAATCAGTTGTTGAATAAACTGTAATAAGTATTATATTGATTTAACACTGACATCAAGTACGCTTACTATTACAAATTCAAGGATTATAAAGCTTAAGTATTTTTTCGATATACTTTTACCTTATCATTACATTTGCAGTTATGCACTTATTTATTGAATGTTTGAAAATTATTATTTTAATACAGTTTCAAAATAAGAAAAAGTTTATAGATATATCACTGCTGCATACAATTATAATTAAGCTTCAAAGATTATTGGGTTGATTGTCAATAAAAAACTCATTAACTACTTGAAATAATAGAACTTTTTAGTCGCCAGTTTACATAAACTTTACATAAACTCTATTTTATATCTTCAAGTTGCACTGTGACTTATGCTATGACATGAGATTTATCCTTTCCTTACATTGATGTCATTCGATTTTCATTTCAAAAACAGCCAGAAGTGGATGAAAAATTAATACAGTTATTCATACTCTAACTATGTATGTTTAGCCTTACAGTCTTTTAATTTCTGTCTTAATAAATAATTTCAAAATTTATAAACATACTATCATTCAAAGTAGTATTAGCAAAAATAGTAGGCCCATTCAGTCTATGTTTCCTCTCCTGAAGCGGCGGCGTCGCGATGGCTGTAAACCGTTCAACCTCTGTCACCGATCTCCGTCACCTCCTTCTCCTACAATTTCTCCACTACCACCTCCTCCTCTTCCTCCTACTGTGGCAATCGCAGACTGGCCTGTATCGATGGTGACTTCTTCCTCGTTCTGGGCCGTGACAACGAATTCGCAGCAGCAATAGCCACCTCGTCAATTAGCTTCACGAATATCCTAACCAGTATTATTTGATTCCTTTGAGCATCATTACGGGATTCCAGCTCCAAATTTACATCTACAACACTATTTTCTATAAATCTATTTTCTACACTGCAACGATGTTCTTTCCTCATTCACGTTCAATATTATATTTCATTTCAAAGATCATTATCCAACGATTGTACAATAAGAATATCTTTTTAATATTCTTTCAATTAGTAAGAGCATCACAGTTGAAACGATCGGTGAAAATCAGTTGCAATGTTACTTTATAATCGATAAAGTAAATTTATGGATAAGTAAAACGATCTTTTATATATCGAATCAGTCACATTTATCAAAGTACTCGTGATGATGTTTCCTTGTCGATAATCTGTTGCGAACACCAGCGTCCCAGTCTTATGGAAATCATTTTACAGTAAGCTAACTTGTACACTTCCTCTTCCTCTCATTATTTCTCTTAGTTTCATCCTACCCGTTCATTCATCTAATCTTTTCGTTTGCTGTTTTACTTTACGCAGATAGCACCAAGCACAAACGATAATACGATTAATGCTACGACTTCCATCTACTTTGTATAGGCACTGATGATATCGCGATATACGTTAGTTCAACCCCTTTGACTTCTTCTTCTTTTTCTTGTAGATTCTCGCATCGACACTTTATATAACTGTTTAATCCCCCACTCTTTATCCAATTCTTTTTCTTGTATTTCATACATACACGCGGCCTTTACTTGTAACACTTTATCTTTCTTTTTTTATTTCCTAAAAATTCTTGCAATGAAGAACTCATCTGCTTTCATAATAAATTGAAAATAAAAACATTCTTGACTGAAAAAGCATATCCAAAAGTGCTTGCAATGTAGTGGATGATGTTTGCAAAGGGAAGCAACGAGGGTTCTACAGGTGAGGGGTATCCCAGCTGCCGGTCGCCTCGCGACTTAGTGGTTCCGTGGTGAAAGGCACTGTATGCGTGGAGAACTCGGAGAACTGTGCGATTGGGGGTGCGCTCTCTCTCTCTCTCTCTCTCTCTCTCTCTCTCTCTCTCTCTCTATCTATCTATCTATCTATCTATCTATCTATCTATCAATCTATCTATCTATCTATCTCTCTCTGTCTCTGTGTGGTGTCTCTCTCTCTCTCTGTCACCTACTCTCCCACCCTCCCGTTCTCTCACTCACTCGCTCACCCGCTCACTAACTCACTCCCTCACTCCTCCTCTTCCCCCTTACGCTCTATCACCCTCTCGCTCTCTCTCTCTCACCCTCTTTCCCCTCACGCTCTATCACCCTCTCGCTCCCTCTCCCACCCTCTCCCGACCTCTTCCACCCTCTCCCTCCCCCTATCTCGTTCTATATCTCTCTCTATCTCTCTCTCTCTCTATCTCTCTCTCTATCACACTCTCTCTATCTATCTATCTATCGTTCTAACTCTCTCTCCCCCGATCCCTCTCTCTCCCTCTCTCTCTCTCTCTCTCTCTCTCTCTCTCTCTGTCGTTCTCTATTTTTCCCCGGAGGATTCGCGAGCAGCTCGCGATCGTCGTCGGTGGCGGCAACAACGGCCAATGCGTGCGTGCAGCACTGACTATCGTCTCTGTAGATACAAATACGAATAGAGAGAGCGCGCGAAAGAGTGGCGGGCGGGTCGCGCGAACGGAGCGGGGCCAGTAGGCAGCAGCGTTGCCACCACCGCCACCACCGCCGACACACTACACACGACTACTGACTACTGCCTACTTTTCTGCCGGGACTAGCTGGGGTTTATATGGTGTACGTATGCGAGGCCGCGTACGTGTATTTGCAAAGTTTCGCGCGTGTACGTGCGCGCGCGAGTAACGCTTTAAGGCAAGAGCACACGGCCTCCGTGTAGCCGTCGTGATCGCGATACCGGCACGGTGCTGCTAATGATCAAGTATACAAGCGCGAGAGAGAAGAGATGCTAAGAGCTTGCCGGCCTGTCAGGCACTGAGTCAGGAGGCGCGCGTCCCTCAGCGCATATATGTGCGAGCCGAGCTGAGCCGTGCCGTGCGCTCCGAGGAGGAGGTCTCCTCCTCTTTCACTCTTCTGTATCTTACGCATTCGCATTCATAGGGACGGCACCGGCAACAGAGTAAGAGAGATAGAAAAGAAATGAACGAAAGAGATAGAGACAAAGAGAGAGACAGAGAGAGAGAGAGAGAGAGAGAGAGAGAGAAAGAGAAAGAGTACTCACGCGCGTGTGCATGTGTGCTCGCGCGAATATGAGAGGGAGAGAAAGAGAGAGAGAGAGAGAGAGAGAGCAGAGACAACTCTCTTCTCTTCTTTCTGTCCATCTATCTGCACCGACCACCCGTATACGTACATACATGCATTCTCTCTCTCTCTCTCTCTCTTTCTCTCCCTCTCTCGCTCTCTCTACCTCTCTCGCTCTCTCTACCTCTCTCGCTCTCTCTACCTCTCTCTCTACCTCCCTCTCTTGCTCACTCACTCTGTATCTTTCCCTTACTCTCCCTTCAGTTTTTTTGCTTTGCCTATACACGCACGCATACGTGTGCAAAACATACGTGCGCAGAAGACACTGCACGATCGTCGTCATCGTCGTCGTCTCGTTAGTGTAGTCGGATTTGCCGGCGCTCACGAAAATCCAAATCCAAATTCCGAGTGATCTGAACATTCGTGTTAAACTCTAGTTTAATTACAATCATATTTCACTTACGCTTATCTTTTAGTGCGGATCCTTCGATAGTGACTAGTCCCACATTTTTTATTCTTTAACTGACTGATTTTCTCTTTATTCGGACACACCTATAATATCACATTTTCAATCATCGAAATTTTTTTTCTGTATTTTCTTTTTATCAATTTGATGGATAACTAAACTTCTTTGATTCTTTGTAATGCCTTAAAAAATACTTGTAATTATATTAAAACAACACAATACACATATCGACATCCATGAAATTTAAAACTTTATTTATTATAAGAAATAAATTAATACAAAAATTCATATTTGTACAACGTTATATTAATATACATAGAGGGATATTAAATATTTTAATAATGAAAATTTTTAGTGATTATTGAATTGATCAAGTGCTAAAATATAAGACATATCTACACATTCAAAAATATTTTGTCACTTCAAAATATAAATTTACTTATTTCAATATTTCTCTAAAATTTGAAATTTAATTTAATATTAAATTTAATTTGAATTGATTTCTTTAATTTTAAATAGTCCACAGCAACATTGTATGCTTCATTGTCCTAACTTTTAGCGTAATATCTCTTAATATTTATATTATTAATACGTTGTATAAATCAAGCATTTTAAACAAAACAGATAAAAAGTTTAACGATACGATAATCAAACAATCAGTTTTTTAATATATTATGTTTTAATATATTATTTTTGTATTATATATAATATATTATATATTCTCCATTAAATTCACTACTTTATACTGAACTCAAATTCAAATGCAGAAATACAAGTATATTTAACACTTTCTCAGGATAAAAGCAGACTATTTTATAGTAAGTTTAAGAATAATCTAAAATAAATATTCAAAAGAAATTGAACAATTTTTGTAATAATGTCTTTTTATTAATAGTAATTATTATGATATTTCTACACAAATAAAGTATTTACTTGAAATTCTATTCAATTATTATAAAATTCTTTATAAATATAATTTCACCAAATTACATTGAGTACAAGGTATACGTAACATTTATTTCTATATTATTATTGTATTATTGTAAATACAAATTATTAATTGATTTTTCTCAAGATTTTTGTCATTTCCTTATCTTATTAATTTCTTCAAAATTAGGAATATATAACGGATGTATACTATACATAACTAAGTTTAAAAAAGATATACTTATTATATATATATATATATATATATATATATATATATATATATAATGTACTAATTCCAATGTTTAGACTCAGCAATTCAGTATAATTCCATTTTCAATGCGAAACTACTGTTTCCTCTTCTTTAACTTTTTTTTTTATCGATATAACTCCTCATCTATGCAAAAGAAAGATATTAAAATTATTCTAAATAGTTTCAAAACCTAAAATTTTATATAATCTTTAATAAACTTATATCTTACTTAATGAAACAATATCTATCTATCTATATCTGTACATATATATATATATATATGATTTTGCAATTTTTTGAAACCGCGAAATGATAAGAAAATAGTAATTCAGAATTTAAGAGTTAATTATAAACTTATTATGAAATTGTATAGTTTCAATTTAAGATTAAAAGCAATTTAAAATATTTTTTGATATTTCTATAGATTTTTATTAATATCAAATATTTTACAATTAAGGTAATATTTATACCATTTATTAATTGAAATTTGTGATTGAATATATCCATGATTTTTATTCAGCAATCACTCGAAATAAAATATTCATCATAAGATACGAAATTTTTTTTTTATAAAATTATAAGACTTTTGAAATTTTTATGACTGTTTATATAAAGTTAAAAATATATTGCTATTTCCTCATTATATAGCTATTTATTTATTGTATAATTAAAAACTTATATATGTAATTGAATTTTTTTTATGAATATATTTTTTAAAAACAAGTTGTTAAAATATTAAATTAATTATATATAATTACAAAACAATATATTAAGGACTACTAAATATTTATTTGGATAAATAATTATATTTATAATGTCGTTTAAACTCTTATCGAAATGTTTTTTATATAAAGCAGATATGTATATGTAGATATACATAGTAAAAATTTTTTCGACACATACATAATATTCATTATCTAAATAAATAATAATAATGTATATTAACTTTTGTTAAATGTATATCTATATTTATGTAAAGATCTATCTAAATATGTGAGTGTGTGTACGAGTGTGCGCGCGCGTGTGCACGCGCGTGTGTGTATGCGCGCGGGATCGCGCGTGTGTACAATTTCATATATAGATATAAAACTTTTGTTTTTAATCCACGATGTATATATTACATCAATCCTTTTCTTCTTTAATTCTTCGATTGTCGCAGTAATGATAGTTTCTTGATATATTCAGCGATACGATCAACTTGCGAAATAATCAAATACGAAATAATTAAATAAATCTATGCAAATGATACTGGTAGACTTTATTGCGAAGCCAAAAGTCGTACATTCGTATTCGAAACCATTACAATGCATTCGATTGCACGAATTAGTCGTAACTAAAGATTATCCGGAAGATATAATTGTAATGAATCCATTAACAAAGTTCAAGGATTGAAAAGGATAGCAATACTTTTTTAGAATATATCCGAAAAATCATGTATTTCTATTTTTAATAGATAAATGTAAACAAATGAAATGTATTTATAGTTGTTTTATAGGAGTACTCTTTAACTTTAGTAGCCTAACAAAAATTAATTTATTTCCACAACTTGTGAGAAATGCATAAAATCATATAATAACAAAATTCATATCTATGAAAATGTGTACTAAATCTTAGTTACAAGTTTTAATATTTACTGAATGTTAATCCACTAATTAATTTCTTAATTAATTTACTAATCAATATCTTCGAATATTTATTTTATTTCTCATATTATCATATAAATTATTAATGTTATTTTAAAGTTATATTAGTCATTTGAAATTTGTTTATGTAACAAGAACATAGGATATGTATTAAAGGGTATGAATTTGAAAGTCTTTCTTTTCAGAAATTGTAACTTTATTAAATGTTTTCTAAAGAACATACATAATGTTGCACGGTTAGCTTCAAAATGAATTCATTGTACATTTCATGAATATAATATAGACTGATGAATTTTACAAATTATTATAAGTAATTAATGATTAAGAACTTTATTATAATATTGCTTACTTCATTCAGTCACAGAATTATTTCATATTTTCTTATAAATATGACAATAAATATTCTATTTAAATATTAGTTTGAATAAAAACTATTGGCACTCGCATATGATAATTAAAATTTCGTATAATTTTATTTATAGGAAGCTGATATATAAAACTTATTTTAAGTTATTAAACAGCTTTCTTTGATCGGATGTAAAATCAGAATGTTAAGCCTTTGCATAACCTTCCCATACATGGATAAGTCGATAATTCAAATCGCATCGCTGACGTTTAAAACAGATAATCTGCTCGATCAATACCGTTCATTTTAATGACTAGCTCGCTTAATCTTCTTTTACTTTATTTTATGTATATCGTTGTGATTTTGAATGCCCCTAATTTTCTATACACTATATTAACTGTAGATCATATTCTTATTCAAAGAACTAGCTGAATCAGACTATATTTCTTCTCAGCCAATAGTATATATTATATATTTTTTTCTTTGATGCCATAATACTTAGTGTAAACTTTTAACTGTAATTATTATTACTTTCTATAAATCTATTTCTCCATAAATATGATTAGTATATTTATTACTTAAATATATATAGGTCATATTTTATGTGAAATTTTAAAAATATATCATACATTATGTCTCAGTGTCATATACCACTATATAAAAAATAATTTCAAAGACGTTTCAATAATTTTGCATAATTGATTATTTAGTTAAATTATTTAATGATCTTTAAATGTGTGCATAATATTATATTATTATACAATCATTAAATATAATCACGGATTACTAAAAAAATTTAGATAACAAAAACCAATTTACTAAATTATTTCTATATATTATCTCGATTTCTTTGAAATTATTAATAGTTAATTTTAAAAAATTTGATGTATTTAAGAAATATATTTGTTTCTAGTCTATGTAAGTAGGTAACTTACATACATGTATTTTTATATCGATAAAATTAATAATATATAATTATATTAGTCTTTATTTATTTATTAATTTTATTTATTCAAATATTTAAAACTGGAACTTTAGTTTTGTAATCACAAAGATCTGGATCCTTGATAGAGTCTTGAATATCAAAATAATAGACTAATATTATATCATTAAAAACAGTTAATTATTATAAAGTGTTTTAATTAATGCAACTCATATTTAACCTTATTACTTGGAATTAAGGTTATCGATATGCATATAAATTGAAAAATTGAGATATGTTATATACATGTATATGTGTCTATATATATATATATAAATAAAAATTCTATCGATCTACATCAATGAAATCTTTTATAAATAGCCTTTTCTAGGAACTTTAATTCATATCTAATTCACTTAACATAATTCATTATTAATATTATCATTAATATGTATTTATTCTAATGAACTCTTACTTCGTTGATATAGATTTTAATTAAACAATTTGCTAATTAATTTATTTTATTTTACTAACTATAATCATAAACCTTTCATTGTATTACAAATTCTATAAGCTATAATATTATATATTTTTTCATACCGACATCAATACAATAGTATATAAGATAATTAAGAAGAAATTAAAAAAATTTTATACTGATGTGCTTTCATTATTAAATTACTTTTAACATTTGTCGTTTCTTAAATTTGGGAATAGTATTTTTTATCGCTTCTCGTCACTTTCCATTTATCCATTCTATTTACAAAAGCTCCTATTAAACTTAAATGTGCTCTTTCACATTCCAGTATTATATATACTTTAATTATTGTAATTGACTATACAGAAATTGTCTATATAAAAATATATTAATATAAACATGAAATATTTTCAAACACTAAAATCTTATTATATTATGTTTTTTTTTATATTTCGTGTATAAATTTAAAAAAATTGCATGAACGTCAAGTGCCTATTTTAATATACAACTATAGTAGTAAAAAATTACTAGCAATCAGACAAACGAATATATATATATATTTAATAATTATAATAATAATAATTTGATAATAATTTGTTTAATTCATGCCTCATATTAAACTGATTTTAAAAATTACAACTTCAAATCATTCTTATCAATTACAAATTCATAAATTATAAATGAACCAATTTTAATTAATCTTCATAAAACTTATTGAAAAAAGATATTATTTATTTGCTTATTTTAATCAAATTAAATATATAAAATTAGTGTTAAATATTGTTCTCAATTATTTTTTTAAATATAGAAATGTTTTAAACACATATCTGTTAAATATTAAGGAACATTTTATTAAAATTATCTACGATGGAACAAAAAGAATATTATAATCTAAAAATATTTAAATCCCTTTTTTTTTTAAGGTATATAATATAATGAAAATGTGTTGATTATAAAATAATGATAAACGGAATTCTGAATAAATGATCTGAATAAATTTCCTCTTTATAAATCTCAAATAAATGAAATAATGTACAAAAATCTCTTAGATTTTGCATTCATTTGAAAAGTTCCAGATATTTAAAAGTTTCTAAGAGATTCTCTCTTCCATTTTTCTTATTTTATTGCTTTTCGTTCTTTTAACTTATTGAATTCAAAGCGCTGATCCGTAGCTTGTTTACAAATTAAAAAAAAATGATCCTTTAATTAATTAATAATCAATACATTATATCTAATTAATTCGTAATTT